GTATTTATTAGTTAAATATTATTGTAATAAATATAAATTAAATTCGTTAATATGTTGTTTCTTTCATTGATTAAGTTATTACTTCTTGGAGATAATTTAAAAAGATTTTGTACATTTTCAGGGTATTCTTATTTTAGTCAGAACACTGTCAAGGAATCGTTTCCTATAAACCATATATATTCTTGATCAGCATCATCGTCTGAATCTTCCTACCATCTTCTAAAGAAAAACACTTTTTTCGATTTTTCAAAATGTTATATGTGGTTACATCGTAAAAATCTAAAAAAAAATTGGCAAAAAATTGAATTTTGTTGAATTGTAAACTGAATAAGCAGATTTGTTAACCTTGTAAAAAGTAACATAGGAACAATTTCCGAATTAAATTTAATGCTTGTTTGGTGTAGTTATGAGTGTTTTAAGCTTTGATTTGTCGAATAAAATTGTCATTAAAAAATATTGATAAATATGCGAATATTTTGAGCACTGTCACATCCCAACCATTTTCACTCCCCCATTTTTTCTCCGTGCAGGAACTTAACGGTCAAGAGAGTTCGAGCTGAGTTGCCTATTGTGCGCTTGGTACGTGAATGAATTCATAAAAAAAATAATAGAAATATAAAAACGAAAAACGAAACGAAACCAAAAGGCGGCGACAGTGCAGGGCGGCATGAAAAATTGAATGTAATGCGCAAATGAAATTCAGCGGCGTCAAACGCAAATCCAAATACAAATCCCCACAATATCCATCGCTTTTCATTTGGCAGCGGCGTGCATATATACATATTTCGAATTCACTTTAAACCAAAAACAAAAAAAACCAAAACCACAAAACAAAAAAACCCTAAATTGCCCGCACGCATTTTGCATTTAATCAGCGCACGCACAGCGGCAACACCAATTGGCACAGAAGCAACTTCAGTGGCAGCAACAGCCAGTGGCAATATTAGCCACTAACTATAAGCTGCTTTTGAAAATCGATTAGTTGACAGCGCAAAGGGGGAAAGGGTACTTTTGCGGAGGGGCCTCCTCCATCACCATCATTTTATTGACAGTTGGCGCGTGTGAAAAGCGGCGTTTGGCCCCTCTCCTCCCAGCCACGCCCCCTCACAAAAAGTGCGATACTTGATTATTCCAAGCACATACAAACGCTTTCATGCATAATCTCACCTACAACAACAATTACACCAATGGCATGCATAAAAATCACAACAACAACAACAACAAACACATTTATGGCAAACTACACCAACAACAAAGGCAAGAACAGCAGCAGGAAGGAAAAAATAACCACACCAATTTCAACAACAATTAAAGACTTACACCAACACACGTCGCTGGCGGAAAAACAGAGAAAATTCGTGCCGCTTTGTTTCGTGTGCTCATGAAAAGCTCGAAAGAAAAGCGAAATTTCGGTTGAGACAGCGACAAAACGTTGGTAATCAAATAATTTCATGCCTTTAATTGTCGACGGAGCTTGGTTAGTAGTGAGGATAATTGGATTGCCCTGAATGAACGTCGACGAGCAATAATGAGCCTTAAATGAACAATGTACGTGGGCGGAGTTCGCTGGGTTGGTTGCAGGTATTACCGCGTTAATAAGGAGTTTCATGGCTAAGAACGGTGAATGGTAAACGCTGAAAATGGTAATTAGTGGTAAACTGATAAGAGTTAAAGCGAAGGAGTATTGTCAGAAAGGTGCAAGGAGTTCTCCAGGAAAATGGGAAAATTAAGTAAATTAAATCCGAAGTTTTACATTTGGGAAATCATGAATATTTGAATGAGCTATTTTTTTTTTATTAAACAATATATGTAATAATTATACCCCCTATTTCCCAACTTATAGGGGAAATTCCCTCCTTGCTCTTTCCAAATTAAAACTTAATAAGAAAAACATTTAAGCACTTGACGTGCATTATTAATTGCCAAGTGTCTAGTGCTAAATAGGCGATGGGAAACTCTCAATTAGAGCTGCCAATCGCTGTTAAAGATTTTCAACAGGCGGTGGAAAACTAAATGGCAGAACAACGAAACAGCAACAAAAAGTACCGACACAACGACAACAACAAGTGCAACCAAAAATTAATAAACCGGAAAAACTTTTAGCAGTCCCCCGCCGCGCCACTCACATAAGCCAAAGTCTAGCAAGTTGGCCAGAAATTAATTAGTCAAATGGAGCAGGAAAATAGCCCCTCCCCCCTTAAGGTCCCTTGGTTAACTGAAATATTTAAGAGAAGAAGGATTTTGATTAGACCTAAGGGAGGTGGGGTGTGTTAGATGCCAAGTGTTGATGTGATTGTTTTCCCTTTTTCGGGTTTTGGAAACTACGAGTCTTCTTTGGCCACCTGGTCGACCCCAAAACCGAACAAATGTCAGAGTGTATTAAGCCATTAAAATGTTAAATTATATGGTTTTTGAACTTGCCTCGACTCAGCTCGGCTCGACTTGTCTTCCCCCCCTAAGAAATAGTTAAAGTTTGGCCAAGCGCAGAGTGTTGTTTGTTGCCTTGAAATGAAAGTTTTCTGTGCATTGTGTTCAGTGAGCACAGCTTTGTTTTTGTTTTTTTCTTTCAGATTTTTTCTGTATATTTTTCAGATTTTTTCTTTTTTTTTTGGCACATTACATAAAATTTCGTAACATTCTGCGGCACGATGGCAAAAGTCTCTCTAAGCGTCTGCAGTCTCGGTTTCGGTTTCTGTCTTTCGGCATTGAGCTAAGTTGGATAGCTAAGTTTAAGAAAACTCCACTGACCTGTTAACAGAAATGCTGTGCAGAGACTTACTATACACAGGGGGAAAATAATGGGTTCCTTGGGGAGAACAATTGAATATTTCTTTTAAAGATAAATCAATTAAAGAATAATAAAAGGGTTTTTGCAAAAGACTTGACTGTTGAGAGTATTAGGTTTAAATTAACCAGAAGTTGAGTCTAAATATTATGCCATTATTATATCATTCTTTACTCCCATTAATACTTTAATTATCAACTGGTTTAAAGCGTTACATGCTTGATATATTACTTAAAAGGTATGAAGGTAACAACCTCAGATGGTTACTAGTTTAAAAACCCTTAAATACCCTTAGTTTTATTCTTCATTTACATTTGTGGTATCCCTTTGCAACCATCCCGACTCTCTGCCTTCAAAGTAGTCCCATAATTTCTCCGCGTGCACTCCAAACAGCCAGTTAAGTTGGCTCAAATCGACTCCAGTTGGCCAATAGCAGCAACAACTTGCGAAGAAAGTTATAGACAGCTCTACACTACAGTAAAAACAACTTTTGCCCAAGAAGAAGCAGCGGCGGAGGCCATAAACGAGTAGAACACGTTTTACTGTTGGAACCGCCGCTGCCTCGGCCGACGTCGAAGTCTCTGCCGCTGCTGCCGCCGCTGCCAGCGTTGACTGAATTTTCCCGAGTTTTGTGGGAAAGCTTTGACTTTGAGTGCCAGTGCAGTGACTGTCAATTTTCCTCGTCCCGGACATTGAAAATGAAATGCCAGTCAGGGCGGCGAATCGAATTAATTGCACCTCAATCTATCATCGGATGTATTTCCATCAAAAGTATTTACACTCTTTTTCCAACCGCTGACGCCCCGCTGCGATTTCACTTTGAAGAAGCAGAAAATTAGCACTTGAGGAATGCCTTTTATTATTTGTATTTTGTTGTTGTTGGTTTTTATTTTTATGTTATTTTTTACCCACATACGCGTATGTAAATGCGTGAATATATATGGGCGTCTATATATGCATAATATGCCCGGATCGGATCGGGACCGAGGCCGGCAGAATGCGGAATGGGGTTAGGGTGCGGAACGATGACTGAATAAAATCAATATAGCGCCATATAGAACTCCGTGATTCGCAAATCCAGGTGGCAAAAGAAATACTTGTGGTGCTAAATCGTAGAGAAGAAACGAGGAAGTCATTGGCTGGAATTTTATTTAACTACAAAAATAAGCAAAGTTATACTGCAGAAAGTAAAGGAAATTCTGATTAATTTGAGATAATTCTCTATGCCATTTAAAAATGTACAGAAGGATAGTTTTAAGCTTTTTCAAAATAAAAAATATATTTATTTTATAAAAACTAGATATTCACCTACTATTGCACCAAAGTTGACACAAAAATCTCATCTGCATTTAAATGAAGAATTCGTCATTATTATACTAACATATATTCATAGTTTAACAACCCCTTTGCCTATATATTTCTTTAAAATTTAGCTGTACTAAAAAGTCACATCTTAATAGCTAAATTCGTTATACTGAAATATATTCTATACACCCTAAAACTGTATTTAGTAACAAAAACTTTTCATATAAGTATCATGTTTCCAGGAAATATTATTTAGAAATCATAACAAGTCTCCTACTAAAAATGAGTCATAAGATATGACTAAGTCTTGAGAAATGTGATTAAACTAACAAAGTAGAGTTCATCTTCCAAATTCCAAGAGATTTTAATTATAGAATATTTGTACTAATTAAAAGTTGTACAATCCAAGTTCATTAAACACTAAAAACCAATACAATACATTAAATTTCTTTTATATTGGTTCTCTTAATCATGTTTAGATTGATTTTAAATTGAATTTAAATAGATAACCATTACCAGACTTTGTTCTATTTAGAGCTGCCATAAAAGACGGACTGCCCTGCCATCAACGAGACCCGCCCGTGCTGGATCTTCGATCTGGGGATCTTAGATCATAACTCACCGGAGCCGGGAGTTGCCATTGGAGTGGAGTGGCTGACAAGCCGCTAACTGTTAGAGCTGGCCGCTGCTCAGTGTGCCAAATACTTTCCCAGACCCGACCGGACCAGCCCAGCCCAGACCAGCCCGGCTCAGCTCAGCTCAAATTAATTGAGGAATCGGGCTCAGAGAGCCAGCGAGGGAAAGAGCACTCCCTGAGCGCGCTTCGGCTCTTGGCCAAGTTGTAAGTTGTAAGGCAGTTGGTAAGCTGGTAAGCGGAGCTGCCTGCCAGCGATCAGTTGCAGACGGTCAGTCGAGCGAGACAGTTGAGTGCGCGGCGGTGCTGGAAAAGCGAGAACTGAATTCGAAAATCCGAAAGCTGCAGAGCCAAGCTCAGGCCAGAATCAACAATCCACACAATCGACTCGAATCGAATCGCCAGAAAAAACAGGTAAAGAGCGGCAGTAACAAAAAAGAAAGTCAAGTCTCACCGTCCCCAAGAATCAGGGGGGCCTCGAACCCCAGCCCGAAGCTCAAAGCCCACTGAAAACTCAAAACCATCCCAGAAGCGATCCCCCAGCGACAGTCTTCAGCGGCAACTCGAGGAGATCGGTCGAAACTATAAAGTTAAATCCACTTGATATCGGTTGTTATCGGTTCTGTGCCACAATCAGTGCTCGATTGTTAGTCAAGGTTAGCCTTTGGATTATAAAATTAATACGGATAAATCTGTGTGACAGCGAAGAGGATTATACACCCATTTAAATCAGTTCAGTGCCTTGATTTTCCGATTTTTAATTGTCAATCCTGGAAAATGGCTTTTACCAGAAGGACTATGTTGCTTCATTTATATTTTATATATTTTATAAATGGATGTGCCCTTGTGCAATATTTTATGCAGTTCGAGTATTCAGCTAGCTCTAAATATTTTCCAAAATAAAAAAGATGCTTCGTTAAGTTAATTAATTTCCGAATGCTAATTTGTAGAGTAATTTCGCTTGAAATCTATTCAAGTTTAGTAGCTTCAAGTGTTAGATTTCCATTCACTATCTAATAGCTAAGTTCAACATTTCATTTGAAGCCACAACTAGTTGTGAAATCTAACAATTTATAAAGAGTGTCTTAGCCTTGCTTCAAATACAAAAGCCTAGGGGAATTCTCTGGTAATTTATATATAAAATCAGCATATATGCATTAAAGTTCACTAGACTGTTATTAATTTCTGCGAAAACTTTACAGTCTCTGAGCAGCTGTGTTAAGCCTCAAAGGATTATCATCGATTCAGTTGTGTGAAAATATGAGTGTTCTCACCTACTTCTTAAAGTCAAGTCTGGCATTGGACTAAAAAAAAGAAAAAAAAACAGTGTGAAAGTGTAGAGGATTACCAGCGATTTCGATCTGTTCCATTTAACCCAGCACAGTTTTATATTTATTTTTTGTTTCTGTGGGAAATCTAAGCGTTTGCATGCATAGTTTTCCCCAGTTTCCCCACTTTCCTCGGTGGTGATGGGAGGGAGGAAAAAATAAAACGAGCCATAAAGCCCAGCCTTGGAATGGCCAGAACGTCTTGGGCAAGAACTTTTAATTGATTTTCAACTGCGGAAGGCAACTTGTACCCGGAGTCGGACTCTTAACTGGCCGGGTCATAAATTGTATCTGCGGCAATTTAGGGCCAAGTACAATACAGTTTTTCCCCCATCCACAGTCCCTTTTTCCTGGCCATTTCTCTCTCTCTTTCTCTGGTTTTTATGCCCCGCTCCATTTTCACATGTGCTGCTGCTTCTGATGTTGTTTGGGGCTCTGCGGTCAGCAGACCAAACCGAAACTATAGTATGTTCAGATCCAAAGCGGACCAAGTTGAGTAATCATCTCTCATGGCTCTCAGGTTTCTTCTGCCCAGCTGACCCACATTCGAGCGACTTGAAGCAGTTAATTTAAGTGTTTCCTGGCCGGCTCCAGCCTCGGCACCATCGGAATCAGCCAAGTTATAGTTTACACTGTTTACACTGGCCAACAGCAGCAGCAGCACTTTGCTGCCAAAACAAAACACACTCAATGCGCGTGTTTAGGGGGGTTTTTCCTTTTTTTTTCAAGGGGACGAAACTTGCAGCAAGGACAAGCTATTAACAGACCAAAGTCTGCCACGAAATTCGAGTGGCTCCAATTCGTTGTACACTTTTTCTTTCTTATTTTATTTTTTTTCTCTCGGTTGTTTGTGGACCAAGTTTCAAGTTTATGCAGCTTGTCAGTCAGCGAAGGAAAGTGCGGGGAATCCCCTGGCCGGCCCAAGCTGCCAGCTTGTTCCGCCAGGTGGCGCTGACGCGACGATAACAAAGTCCTAATTCAAGTGACGTGCGAATGCATGCGAAAAAGAAATGCTTCGAGGGGCAGAGCTAAACACGAAAAACACAGGGCAGAACGACTTGCAACTTTTGCGTAAAGAGTGCACTATGAAAACTTTTCAATTTCCTTTTCAGAATTATATAATTTTGAGCCTGGTTTAGAGAGGTTTTGGTATCAAAAGGTTTGAGAATTCATTTCAAAAACATCGTTTTTGTTAATTTCTGATATGGGAAGTTCCTTATTTACTTGGTAATATTTATGTTCCTTAAAAATACAATATTCCGATATTTAGACAATGTATTTATTGCTTATTTTTTCACTCTGCATACTCTTCAAACAAAAAAAAGAATCATTCCTTCTCTTTAAGAAACACTTCTCTATTCTCTGTCGTTTTTCTCTGATTTACAAACCCTCTCGACTCAAAAAAATCTCTTAGCTGCAGCTGCGCCCAGAAAAACGCTTACTGGAAAATTTACAGAGGGGGGCGTGGCCGTTGAGGCGGCACGTGTAAAGCTTATTTTTCCACACCACCTCGTGGTCCATTGTCTTGGAAAATTAACTGCAACGCAGCTGCAAAGACAAGGCTTCGCAAACATATGAGACAAACTCGCACAAAGAAGGATCCCAGAGCCTGGGATGAAATCAGGTGAACATGGGTGTGGTTCCAAGGGGGGGCGTTGGGGTTCTCTATGCAAATCCCGTCTGCACGTGGCCTTTTGTGGGTGCCTGCATATTTATTGATATGACGCTGATATGACAATGCGGATAGCAAGCGTTGGCCAGGAGCTGAGCTTCCGGGGAAGGCGGCAAGGGAGGAGTACGTCGCCACATCAAGTGGCAGCTGCCTCGCCTCAGGCAAACGCCTTCAATAGCTTCCCCGCCCCTCACCCGACGCCTCCTCCGATCTCAGACGCCCCCCTGAGTGGAGCTTAAGTAATTTTTGCTGGCTGTGTGACGTGCAAGTGCACAGCAAACACGACCCAAATGCACAGTAAATAATTTTTGGGAAGAATTTAAGGGGATTTTAAAAGTTGTTTCTAGATAGGAGGTTGTACTTGAATATTATATAGACTTTTAGCAATTTTTGTTAATAAATAAATAGTAAAAGCTGTTCAGCAACTATAAAATAATTCAGAAAAATCACTTAATTGCTTCCTAAATAGTTATTTAAACACTTTGTTTGGAAATATAAGAATTCCTCTTAATTTTCATATATACAACACATTTTCTACTCACTCTCCTTGAGTTATTTGTTAAGTTTATAACCCCAACTTGTTATTTTCAGTGCATCGAACCCAGTATCTTCCCCATCAGCATCACGCACATGAATATTAATGTAGAATGCACACACGGTTAGCTGCGTTTTTCTATGGGGGCATTAAAATATTGTATAGTGGGAGCAGCGTTCCATATGAGTTAGTTCCTACAATAGACTAGGAAGAACCAGAAGCTGAAGAAGACTTGCTTGCCTGCTAGAAGAACCGAAGGCAAAAAACTTCATCCCGACTCACTTGCTCTCCTTGAGTCCCACGCTTGTCAGAAGTTTTGCATTGCATTGTTGGCTGCCCTTCAGTTTTTGCCCTTCAACCCTTCAAGCCATCAACCCTTCCACCAAAACTCTATGAGTCTCCCGCCCCAAGCTTTTCTTGCGGCATGACGCGTGAAATGCTCCGGGTTTCGGTGAGAAAAATGGTAGATAAAAGTGCATTGTGGCGGGAGGAGGATATAAGAGGCGAGGGGTGTGAAAAGTAAATGCAATTTCCTCAAGACTTCAATAGGCAGGAGTTTAAAAGTACTTCGAAACAGAAGGACGCATCTAAGCGTGGGAAAATCAAGTAGAAAAATAAAGTTTCTTACAGTGGGTTTAGAAGGACAGTTGCATTTAGTAAATATTTTTCAAATGGATTGTATTGATACCGCAGAAATGTTTAAAAGAATATTCATATAATTTCCAACTAAATAAGCTCGTAACTATCTTGTATAATTAAATATACAAGTTGCAAAGATAGTTTCAATATCTAGTCAGCATCTCTGCTATTTATTATTTGTAGCACCGAAAATTGTATGCTCAAAGCAAACATTTAAGCTTCTTGAAAAAGATTCATTATGTCCCTAAGACTTTTGTAAACAAATCTCTTTAAGAGTTTCATATTTTGTCCGTGTAATTAACACCCACTGTTCCTGAGACTGTTCTGCTTAGGCAGGTGATATGTCGTCTTATTTATGCCCAAGAACTCAGGAACCTCACCATCATGCCATCCCAGAGTCTCCAAGGTATTTGCCTGGAGGAGCAAGCCAACGGTATTTAATAAACACCGTTCGGTAGCTGCTCTGCTTTCCGTGAAACTTTTAATTAAGCGGAGAGACGGTGCGATGCTCTGGTTGCTTCTACCTGCCGGCTGTCTTCCACTTCGCGGAACTTGAGACATTGAAAGGCCATAAAACAGCGACTTGACGGCTTATCAGAACTGAGCCCTAAAGCCTGAACCCAAAATCCACTCAATGTCGCTGCAGCTGTGTTGTGTTGCTGCTGCTGCTGCTGTTGCTGCTGCTGCTGCAGTTGCTGTTGCTGCTGTTGCTGTTGCTGCTGTTGCTGCTGCTGCTGCAGTTGGCCAGTGGGTCACTGGGTTTTCACTTTGCTTTATGGCCACTTTGCCGTTTGCTTATCAGCGTCGGACTTGATTTCCAGAAAGCGCTTTGCTCATTTTTCAATAAGCGGCCACGCAGCAGCAGCAGCAGCAACAGTTGCGTTGCTGTTGCTGTTGCTGCCTCGGTTGACGTCGAAGTCGCTTTCACTGAGCCCGCAGCAGCCGCACTTGACACTGCGACAATAACAGCAACAGCAACAGCAACAATAGCAACAGCAACAATAGCAACAGCAGCAGCAACAACGGCAACAATTGCTGCGGTTGTTTGCTATTGCCGGTGGCTGTTGGTCGTGCTGATTGTCATGGCTAAAAAGCCACCAGCAATGGAAACAACAGCAACAGCAAGGCAGCAACAATGATTGCTGTCGCGGATTAGACTCAAACGAATTTGGGAATACTCTGCCCAAGAAGAATATTGAAAAATAATGAAAGAAACAACGTGCTAGATAATTAGTATAGAATTAAATACTCTTCTTTGTGACTTCCCCAACTCCTTATAATCTTAAAAAAAATGTTAGAGAATGACCTCTGAAAGCTGCCTTGTGAGCGATAGAAAATAATATAAGATATACGATTTTTCTGAAAATTCAAGTCTCTTCCAAGAACATTTTTCCCCTGACTCCTTGAAGAGAGAGTAAATCTTGCTCATCGCTTTACCTTCACCTGCCACTGTGGCGCCTGCAGCTGTCCAAAAAGGTGTTGTTGCTGTTGCTCAGGTTGCTGCTGCTGCCGCTGATGTTGCTGCTGCTGCTGCTGCTGCTGTTGGTGGTGTTGCTGCAAATGTTGCTGGAGCTGCTGTATGTCAAGTGCCAGCAAACTGGACATGTGAACACCCCGCCGGCGGCTGCTGTGAGGCGCAGCTCAAAAACATGTTTACACTCGCACTCTCAAACGAGCGGCGCTCCTTTGTCTGCTTTCTTTAGTGGCTGGCTGGCTTATTGACCGAACAACAACAACTGCTGACCGATGATTGTGTACCACTAAATGTGTAATTTTCCCCAATTGTAAAAAAAAGAAAGTGATTGCACAGAGAAAAAATAAGTGACGATACATACGGCTAAGGTTTCACGGAAATAACGAGAGATTTCGTGACATTAAAGGACTTTTAAGCTCTTGGGAGCTATGAATGTTGAATGATAAGAAGAAAAATGCTTTATCTTTGGACACCAAGTCTAAGATCTAATATTTCTAATGGTATTTAGCATATTCCATAGGAAATATATCCATATAATAATAAAATTTCACAATTTTTGTACAACTACTAAAGAAACACTAAACTTTACTCCCTTTTCAGATCTAACAGAATGAAGTTTGTGATTTTGCTGTGCGTGCTGAGCGCGTTGCTGCTGCAAATCGAGGCGTCTCCCCTGCAGCGTCTTTCCAGAAGCGAGCGAGCGGTGTCCCGCCAGCAGACGGTGAACAATGAGGTGGCTCCGGCGGTGGCTCCCGCTGATGATGATGAGGACGATGACGATGACGAGGACGATGATGATGAGCCCGATCTGGGAGATCTGATCGATGATGATGATGGTAGGTTTAGCGATACGATCGATTTGTAGATCACTGAATGCACCAGGCAGCACTCACCACCAGCACCACTGTAAACTGTTTGAACTGTTTGATCCACTGAACCACTGAGCAATATGCAAAGCGCACCCAGCCAAACATGATATTTGTCCTGCTTTTATTAACCAACATTTTTTGTGACTCTCCCCCGTGTGGTCCCTTCTCCTTGGGTAACAAAGTTCTTTTGATTTCGGGACTTTCAGATGATGACGAGGAGGAGGACGACGATGATGAGGAGGAGGATGACACGCCCCAGGGACAGGCAGCCCCGGCGGCCACTGCCAGCGATGACGATGAGGAGGATGATGATGATGATGACTATCTGGACAGGCTGTTCGATGACATCCTGGGAGGTTAGTAAAGATCCAAGCGAGTGGAATACCTAATACCTAATACCACCGCCTTCATCTTTTCAGATGACGAAGATGAGGATGACGATGACGAGGTTGCTCCCGCCGCCAGTGCCCAGCAGAGCTCGGTGGCCGCTGCTCCCGCCCAGACCCTGGATGAAGTTGCTCCCGCCGCCGCCTCCTCGGTGAGCTCCGGCATCTCCGATGGCGTTGATCTGCCCGCCGAGTCCGGCAATGCTGCTGAGCCCGTGGCCGCCGGAAATGCCGCCGATGAGTCCATTTCCGTTGCCGTGGCTCCCGCTGCGGCTGCCAGCAGCAGCAACAATAACGAAGGTGAACAAAATGTTTTTTACGATGAAGACGCACTTGTAGATGGTGTTAGTGGTGGCACAACTAGTTTAAGTAGCACCCTTGCAATTGACGAACAACAGAAACAAACGAACAAGCTGCTGCAGCAGCAGCCACTGCAACAACTGCAACTGCAACATGCAACATCATCTCAGCATGCGACAGCAACAACAGTCACCAAGAACACTCTAACCAACAACCAGAATAACATCATTAATAACAATAATAATCTGGTGACCGGTGCAGCGACCTTGGGGCCACTTGCAACACCAGGTGTTGCAGGCGTTGCTCCGGGGATTGTTGCACCTGGCGCCGCCGACATTGACAACAACAACATCAACGACGAGGACGAGGACGACGAGTATGATGATGACGAGGACGAGGACGATGATGATGATGATATTGATGATGGAGTCGATGAAATTGGTGATATTACAGGTATCGCCGGCGATGATGACGAGGAGGCCGATGATGATGATGACGACGACGACGATGACATCATTGGCGATGACATCATCGAGGCCCGCCAAGCACGTGAGTCCAAATCGAAGTCGGAAACGGCGACGAAAGAAACCAAGGCCAAGAAATCAACAAGTCCCTCCAAGAAGGCCAAAAAAGAGCTGAAGCATTAACCAAACATTAAATTGCTGAACAACAATCAAACAACAACAGAAACCTGAACAACACACAACCAGAAAAGAACAACAACCTAAAGACAGGGACACCCACAACAGCAACAAAGAATGACGAGAAGCCCCGAAAAAAAACTAAAAAAAAAAACAAGAACCAAGAAAGGAAAGCGAATTTTCTAGACATTTTTCACTCGTAAATGGGGCAGGACGCGATCCGGACTTTTGCAATCTTTGCCTGCACTGACTATCCTTCCCCCACTACCCCTCGCTACCCTATAATTTATTACAAAACAAAAACAAAAAAGCAACTGAGTTAAGTAAATACGTTTATGCATACCCTAGATCCTTAGGGGATGCTATTTATCGAGAGTTTGGTGCTAGTCAAACTATCTGCAAAACAACAACTGCACAATTTTCCCCCCAAAAAAGAAAAACACCCGAATTTCCCACTCCCCAACGCACAATTGTTGAGTTATTTACGCACGGACTGTTTCACACGACAAAAAAAAGAAAACAGCAACTATAAAGCACCAGAGCAACATGCAACATGCAACACATATTGCAGTTGCAGCAGCAACATGTTTAATGCCCAAGCACAATTTTGTTGAATTTCCCGAGCAAAACAAATGAGAACACAAAGAAGAAGATGATAAAGAAGATGGCGCAAAAGAAGAGGATGAGAAGAAGGAAGATGTAAACTGAGAAGAAGCAGAGAGCAAGAGAAGAACCGCTAGAAGAAAGATACCGAAAAGAAAGAAAGTCTTCTCTTGCTCTCTGTCTCACTCACAACACATCCACATACATATCTGTCTCTCTCCCACACACACCCCCTCTTTATACACACATTTAGCTAAATTGATGTAACACCAAAAACAACAACAACAGCAAATTAAGAATTGTTCACTTAGTGTAATTTATTTATTTCCTAGTTGTAATCTCCCAAATTTATTTATTTGTGTAATTAAAACGATCAGATTCGGAATAATGTATCATGATGTAATACTCTCCCTCTATCTTTCTCTCTATTTATATGTATCTATGTCTGTCTCTCTCATGCACTCACACACACGCAAGCACACACGCATTTAAGCACTATCGCTCTCTTGCTTTCACACATTTGGCTTACAATTGAACATTGAAAAACAAAACAATGTAAATGTAAAATGTTTGGCTCTCTCTTTCTGTCTTTTTTCGGCTCGCATAATTTTCCAAACGTAAATAACGCAAATTTTGTAAAAAAAAAAAAAACAATATATTAAACTCACAAAGAATTGTAGCTAAAAGTTGAACGCTTGAAAGGCAGCGCAAAATTTCACAAATGAACAAACAAACAATGAAAAGAAATCTAGAGAATTGTTAAACTTTGCGTTTTAGGTCATTTAATTTGTAATTTATTATTTATTTATTTATTTATTTATTTATTATTTATTGTAAAAAGAAAACAAAACAAACAAAGCAAGATGACGAAGAACAAACCACAAAACCAACACGAAAACTTTGCTTAAATAAATTTGCGAAATGAAATAAGCTGTGCGATGTTTTTAATGGATTCTGTGGATATGGGAAAATATTGTCTCTCACTATCCGTAGCATACTTTCAAGCGCCACCTTAGGCCAGGTATTGGGTCTGTCTCTCTGTACTCCTTTCCTCTATGTCTATCTCTGTCCCTCCGCACACACACACACACACACTCGCTCTCTCTCACACAACCATCATTAGCAGCTTCTGTCATTAATGTAATGCCCGTGCTATCTCCACGGTACATCATCCATCCGAAGCCGTAACATTCGCTCTAATTAGTTGCCAAATCCAGCTCTTATCCGTAGTGTAATTGTGCATTTTTTAATTCCCCCCCTTGCTCCCCCATCAACGATTATCTATTTTAGAATATGCCGCTTTAAATTTACAATTTTTACTTCAATTAACGGCCACGGGAAAAAGGGCAAAATGCTAAAACTGAACCCGATACCGGGCGTGGGCGAGAACTGCTTGGGCGTGGGCGTGGGCGAGTACTTAAGGGGGCGTGGGGGAGCGACATGCAAAAAGTACATTAGTACCTCATCACGTCCCACGGCGGTCGAGTGTGAGATTATATCCGCTTGCGGAGACAGTGACCCACAGAAGGAATGTGAGGAGGGAAGGGCGATGGGTCACCGCGATAAGCAAGGAGACAAGGATTAGGTCCTGGGGGTTAGGTTGGGGGAATCCCTGCACATAATGTCACACAGTGACACCCTAGGAAATGAATTATTTCTGGGGTTAAGTGACCGCTAACTAAGGGTTTTCCGACATTTTAAGGACTTTGTGGAAAGTTAATTCTAATTAGAGGTATAGTCTGGAAAACAACACACAAATTAAATTTAAATTTAGAAAACTTCAAAATAATTATAAACTTTTTGAGGTACTATTTTCTCGCACTTAAATATAGAAAGGCTTAATTATAGAGACTTGCTGCTATTAATAATTTAAGAGGTAGACACTCGTTGTCACAAGTTTCTCTTTATTGGTTTGACCAGTGATTAACACAGGTTTACTATTCTGGGCAATATAATCTATTTATAATTAAACCAATAAAAAACAAGTGCTGTCAGATATAAAAGGTCAGACCTATTGGCGTTTTTCAAGCTTAAAATTAAAATACAACATACATAGTTAAATATTTTTTGTGTAAGGTTTTTTACTTAACCTATAGAATTAAGTCTTTAATGAGTAGCATTTTGATATTATTTCTCAACTATTAATAAATTCTTGCAGCAATTCCCTCTTCCTTTCAAGTTAAAGCCTTATTAAAATATGATTATATCTTCATGCTGCTCAAATCAATATTTAATAATTATTTTGCGATATTAAAAAGCGACAACAAATCACTTAATTATCAAATGATTAAGCACCCCATTAATTAACACTAAAGTTTCAATGATTTATGATAGGGAAACTGCTGTAAATTGCTTCGCTTCGTCGGGGTTGTGGGACTGATATTAATGCACGAATCCTGTGAACAGACTGACCTGCATGTTGTTGGAAAGAGTCCTTGATGTCAGAAATCCTTTTTTACATTATTTGCTAAACCCTGCCACAGACACACACACACACACGCAAACACACTCCCTCACACACGCACCGAATAATCACTGGGTTTTGTATGTGAGTGTGTTGTGGTCAAGAGAAACACACACACTATGCCACACACACCCTCACTGAATGTAATTAGAGGTGGAAAACAAAGCGAATGCCTGTGGAAAAGTCTCTCAAACACCCACATTCACTCACTCACTAAAGGGAAAGCCACAATGTCCGCCCACCGCCCCCTCTCCTTTTTCCCTGGCCTCGTATTGAACTTTTATTGTGTTCAGCTCAACCGAACTAATGTGAACATTTTCCCGCCTCCCCTCGGCCTCATCCCTCCCTTCGACCCGTCCTGCAGGTGACCTGAAGAACAACGTCATCGACATGTCCTCGGATGCCTTCCAGAGTCGTCACAATCACTTCATCGATGCCATCTTCTCGAGGATCAATCGCATTGTGTCTGATAATTTTGATCCCTTCGTGGTCCGTCTGGCAGGACGATCGGCCTCAACCGCAGGTGTCAAGGATAGCTTCAGGGAGGATAAAACCAACAGCAAGATGGGAGGTCACAGGAAGGTGTAAGTACAACCAATTCTTTTTATTTTTTAATATTTGTTAATTAGAGCAATGGCAATGCTTTGGGAAAGCTTATGTTTTATTGGCAAAACAAATTTAAGGATCAGCTTACATTTTTATACAAAATGCTTTGTTATCCACAAATATATGGAAAAGGACAGGGGCTCTTAAGGTATATGTACTGTTTGCAAAAATATATTAAACTGGAATTCGATTTTAGAACAATACGAAATTAAAAGATTAAGTTTGCAAAATTTGTTTGCTGGGAGCTGAAGCCTTATATGTCCTTGAGACTGTAATAATAAAAATTTAGGAAAATTCCAAACGTTTTCAGGCAATTCTGTATTGCTTGTGTAGACGTTACAGCTGCCCGAGTCGGCAGGCAATACAAGGTGAGGTAACCACCAGGAGAATATCTCAGGAAAAAGGCCCAATAAAGCTCAAACTGTATACTATCACTAAGTTGCATGGATGTAAATAAATAAAGACAGTCAATAGTCGAATAAATATATTGTATTCAAAAGTAAAATGATGAATTTCTGTATTTTGAAACTAAAATACGTTATTTTGCAAGCTAACAGTAAGAAACTCTATAGATCTCTAAGTATTTTCTAAGCTCTCTAACCCTATACTATGTGGTAAGTGTATATAAATCTAGTTTCGAGTGAAAAACTCATTTTTAAAGCATTGCCAAGATTCACTAAACTCAACTTCAGGCATTCTGACTGGCTATTGAACTTAAATTTCGCCCCACATTTTGCAGGAAGAACACGCACTCGGAGCCTCGTGCCAGTGGCAGCAATCAGGAGAAGGCCGCACAGGAGGCTGCGGTGAAGCTGCAGGAGCAATTGACGCAATTACAGTCCGAGCTGGCCATCAAAGCCGTGGAAAAGAAGCCCAGCGAATCGCAGGACTCTCCTGCCACTGCCGCCGGTTCGCAGCCAGCGAAGGCGGAAACGCGCACGGTCTCTCGACCAAAATCTGGTCAAAAGAAGTCCTCGTCGGCCAACAGCAACCAGAATAAACACAACAGCACGAAAAAGGCGTCTGGCCTGAAATCTGGTAACTACAATCAGCCGGCGGGGTCCTCGAAGGCGGGTGCCGAGGTGGAGAAGCTGCAGAAGGCCGAGGGTAGCCTCTCGGGATTGGCCTCCCTGAAGCGAGTGGGCAATGTGAAGGTGATCACCGATGCTGAGGGACGCAACTCCACAATCAAAGCCAAGTTCACGCTGGGACCACTGATCCTGCGCGTGCAAAAGTCCTTCAAGAAGGGCAGCGTGAGGAGCGTAAAGAGTGCCACCGCAAGGACCAACGAGATGATCGGTCGCATCAAGTTCAGTGTGCTGGACGATCGGGCCACCCTGATGTCCATCAAGGTGCAGCAGCCCAAGCAGGTGAGTCCTGGTCCATCCTTTGACCAATTAACCTTTTGACATCCTGGAGTGACATTCGGTCTGTTCCCAGGTGGAGGTGGAGAGCAAGGACAATCACGACCGCACCCGCGAGTTTGTGTGGCGACGCACGCCCAAAATCGCCAAATTGGTCAACGAAAAGCTGAAATTGGCAGCCGAATCTCTCTTTGCCCCCCAGGGCGTTGAGGTTGTCAGGCTCTAATTTTTCGGGAAAAGTCTGCGAAGGAAGAGCCAACAGGATAAAGCCATTTCTCACTGCTCCGCTCAGCTATCCGTCTAGTGTAGTCTATGCGTAATTTTAAAGTCTAATTTATTTATTTATTTAACTTATTCATCTTTGGATCCATCTTATTTATCAACCCATCTATCGATAATAAATGCAACTCTGTCTATGCAAGATTTGGGTATATTTTTTGGGGGAAATATTATTATAAAGCGAAAATAAATAGAAAATAATATAATAGAAGCCAAAAGCTTCTGTAAAGAAAATATTATTTAAATCTGCTCCCTTTTATTTATCACATTTAAACCCATTTAATCTTGGTTATTTTAAGAACTTTTAATTCAATTGCAGCGAAACGAAGATAAACTATTGAAAAATCGATTGATTCAACTCTGAGATACAAAATGTTCATGCAATTAAAATGGGTATCTATTTAAAAACATATATGTATATATATCTCTGTGGCTATCAGGAAACGCAAAATGTTTACTAACCGGTGTCAGTTTATATTTCAGATAAATCACTGCGTTTCATCCATCTCAATTTAGTTGGAAATTCGAAACGATTTGGTTTATTTACACGGCCATTGAACTATTTACCTTTTTGGCCAAGCCAACTCGGAGTAAAGTTTCAGCAAAGCAGACAATTATTTTGGATTTCAGATAAAAGAATATGCGAAATCTGTTGAAAAATCTCCAGCTCAAGCATATATATTTATTGCAACAATGTATGTAGAGGGAACCACTTTGGCCCAAATTGGAGACCCTTGCCAAACCATTAAGCCCAGTTTAGATGGCAATTATCCTAGATCACCCGAAGGAAAATCAGACCCTGAAAGTGGCTAAAAATATTGTCCAATTCAGGGAAAGCTTTTCTCCCCGCTTTCGGTAAATAAAGGTGTGCAGCCATGTTGGTCCCGCTTGCCTGCTTTCCACCCGAATTTCCCCGCATTTCCACGTGTCTCTATGTCAGGTCGCTTGCAGTTTTCATTAATGCTGCAGCTGCAGCTGCAGGACGACCAAGAGCCTGTGGAACAGGATCCTTTACTCTCTCCGAACAAAGTAAATATGAGTGCGTTGTATATGTGTTGGGTGTTGTGTGTCGTGTGTGTGTTGCAACCTAAGGCGGAAGGACATGCAATTTGTTGTTGTTTGCCTTTGTTGTTATACCAGCTATCAGTCCGTCCCCTCTAGCTTTATAGCTCTCTCCCTCTCTCCCTCTTTCTCTCATCATGCATGCTGTTTGTTCTGTCTTGTCCTTGTCTGACGACGGTTGGAAAAGGACGAGGGACACGCCGCTGCTCTTTGTTGCACCTAAATTGACAACAATATCGTTTCATTTGCTCACTGAAGTGAACTCATCAGTGCCGGAGTCCCCACACCCGTAAAGGACACTAAGCGAAATCTAGAGCTAAAATAAGATAGTTCTTAGGAGGAGCTATCCTTGTTTCCATTAACTAATGTACTATCTCCTCGTCTCTTAAACCTTTCACTACTTGGCAAATGAAATAACATAAATTAAACCTTGTTTTTATCACTTTTTCACAGTGCATCCCACTACCCACACATTGGCACTTCATTTTTTGCCAGCTGCTGCTGCCGCTTGATTATATTGGCTCTTCGCAGCGAGGACAATGTGTTCCTACTCCAAGTTTAGTGGCTGCTCCTGTTTGTCCCCCTTTTTCCTGCTGATTGCTGATGCATGTTTTGGACCTCAGAAATTCAGCAGGCAACAATTTAAACAAATTCAATTGTCATGGGGGAAAGGGAAAGCCCTAAAACTCATTTGCACTTTTGCCTGCTGCTGCTGTTGCCCAGAAGGCAGAAAGCACAAATAAGTAAAATATGATAAAGAAAAAATATATATATGTATATATTTTGTACAAATTTTGCAACTGAAAATTCTTGAGCTTAAAATTTGCATTTGTTATTACTTCGTCGGTTTGCAGTTGCAATTGTTGAATATGCAACAATGCCCCAAGAACTGCATCCCCTCTCTCCTCATTGACGATAACTCGGTTAGCAGATTTAATTCCAAGCCAGATCCTGATTGTATTACAATGTGGGCGGAATGACGCCCTCCTGTTTAGCTGGGGAAGCAGATTCAGATCCAGAGCAGAACAGGAGTATCCCTAGGAATCGTAGAACATTTTCATAAATCATAAAATTTACGCTCAGCCAAATGAAATGCATTCCTCATGGGGTCGCTAAGCTAGGTCAATCTGTAGGTAAATTGAAAGAACTTTGGCATTTAGCAGGAAGTCTTTGGTTTTCTTTACTTTACTTCAAAATAATCAATCATGTTGGTGGAATATTTTAAATTGGTATTCCAGGTGGGCGATGGAATAGGGAGAAGATACATCTCAAACTTAAGTAAACAAAATCCAATCAAAAAAGGGTACAACCAAATATATTTTAAATCATGTTAATGAATGTTCAAATTAATTTCCTTTGAATGATTTAAAATTTTTAATTTTTCAATCACTCTTCATTGACTATTAGTTTCCATAATTTCCTACCAAAGAGCATATAAAATTCGTTACTTTCTGAATGAAGTGACACAAATTTCTCTGCAACAATATTTTCTGTGCAACCGAATTGGAAACTTTTGGTTTTTTGCCATGGCGCAAAGTTTCTAATACCCGGCAAGACTTTGGTGGGCCAGTGCCGCTCATTAGACTACAGCCACGCCACGCCCCCCACCCGTGGGCCTGTCGCCCACTTAACCCCACAGTGACCCAGTGGCAGAGACACACACACACACACACACTGGCAGGAGTTTTTAAACACCTCTGACAATATGTGGCGAAAGTTGATAACTAGAGAAATGTTGTGGGGTCGGGGGAGGACAGTTTTCCAGGGTCTGAGGCGAGGCCAAGGTCAAGGGGATGCTGAGAGACAACGGGAGTGGCAGGTAATCGGCTTGTTTAATTAGCTCACTAAGCTCCACCTGGATGGGGCATTAGCGGGCTGTCTGAATAAGAAGCTCTGATTGAAAGTGTCGCGCGGCTTGCCACAAAAGCGACAACTAATTGCCACATAATCAACAACAACAGCAGCAGCAGAAGGAGGAGAGGCAGCAGCAACAGCAGTGGCAACCACAACAACAACAACAAGGGACAACTACTGCGGTGGCCTTTGGGTTTTCCCAGGAGAAGGAGAGGGGGGGCGGGCACTGGCGGATTTTGAACACTTGCGCTTTTTACCAACTCAATTTACGCTAATTACTGCCTTTCGCTTCAGCGATAACTGCTGTCAGCTGCCCCTCCGCCAGCCACGCTTTCTCCGCATTTCCCCCACTCGATTTTCCCGAATTTCCATCCGTCCAAAAAACGGGAACCAAGCGCTTCTCCCATCGCCCATCTGCCATGCATGCGAATTTATATTGTCATTAGCTCTTTTTGTGCAAACTCCGAGTGTATTTTATTGAAATCCCCGCCTTCTTGCCACATTACCCAATTCGCCGCAAAAGAGAGCATTAGATTAAGCTAAGAGACTCTGTTTTTTAATGCTTTTTCAGTGCATGCGCGCTCTTTGCTTAAGCGGAAGTTGTTCTCTTTGACACTGACCTAAAGCGGACAGAGTTACTAAAAGATGTTGTCTGAGGATGTTAAGGATGGATAGGAAACTATGAGGATAAAGGTAATTATCATCAAATATTAAATTATATTTATAGTCATAATTTATAATCAGTAATAATATTTCATTTGCCTTATAATTCAAAATATAATAAATCTAAAAATGGTTAAAGTCCTTCACCTTTAACCTAATGTTATCTAAGGTAAATGAAACGACAAAGCTGTAGAAGTTTTCATAATGAAAATATATAAATAAATATAGTATATAGTTTAAGCATTATAATATAATAATTAACAATCCCAAAATAAGTAATTAGCTAATTAAAATATCTACAACCCCCAGCTTGCTTAATCCTTAAACTCCCCTGACAAACATAAACCTAGATTAGCAGCAGCATAAGCTTTTTAATTGTGTTAGAAATTGGTTTATGTATAGTAATAACACATTTTTATGGTCAATAAAAACAGATTTAAACATTAAAAATTCCCCACTTAAGTTTAGATCCTTAATCCCTTTAAAGCTCACAGGATCAGGTCTAGGTAAAAGACCCATATATTAAGTTACTACCTATAATTTCCATTTAATTTCCCGAGCTTAAATCTGAGCCTTACATAAAAATCCACTTGCAGACAATCATAAAACAAACTTTAATTTGGCTCAGGTCCATAATTCGCCATCATTAAGTTATTCCGCTAAAATTTATCGCAAAATTTCGAAACTATTTGAAACATTTTATTGTTAGACTTTCACAAAGAGCACAAAGAGCTCTCCCGAAGAGAAGAAAAAGAGAATGAAATGCAGCGAATTCGATGTTCGGCACACGAGTTTCCCACACACACCCCCTTTTTTTCCCACGAGTTTTCCCGAGCCGAAGTCCCCCCAAGAACCGAATGATAAAGGCTCGTGTGCGCGCTCGGGAATCCCCCTAAAGTCCCCGAAACTCGCGCCACTGGCAGCGGAAAATCAGTTTCAGTTTCTGTTTCAGTTTCAGCGCGACATCGACGGTGAACGACAGGCGGAAAAGCGCGTGAAAGTCCACAGTCAAGTTTTTGGTGGAAAATGTAAGGCCCAAAATATACGTGAGACGCGAAATTTTGAGACCAAAAGTTACTACGGTGTGTGCGCGTGTGTTTGCTGAGTGTGTGTGTGTGTGCCAAGGTCTGAGGAAAGCGGGCACAATTGGGTCGTAAATTTTTGGAAAACGTGTGAAAACGCAGGAAAACCCTCATTGCCTCATTGCCGGCAGTCGAAAATTGAATGACCTTTTGTCGCTTTTTTGTTGTTCCAGTTACTGTTACTGCTCCTGCTGCTGCTGTTGTTAATTCTAAAAACGCTCTCGGCACGCGAATATTTTACGACATCGCTTCCAAAATTATATACGATTCATTTAGAAAAAAATAAAAACAAAAAATACCAGAGTTCGGTGCGTGTTTGCTGGCCAGAATAAAAGAATGGGAAGCTGTCGTTTGCGACAAACAAATTATAAAAGTGTTAAACGCCCACAGAACGACCTCCAGCCCCTCACAGTTCCTCCCCTCTCATTAGCAGTCAGCAAATTAAGTTGTTTTATTTTTAGCATTGCCACCAAAAATACAAATTAACAAATTAAAACAACACGTCGACAAAATACAAAACAAAAGGCGCAGAGGGACTATCTTTGATCTGCTAGTGAACCGCGTCAAAACACACACCACACAACACACAGAATATATATCGAACGTTAATACACTTTTCTGTGTAATCCAATATTTGGGGCCCAAGAATGTGACAAAAATTAATAGAAAACACATAAAATATTAACGGGGAAACAGCGGAGCGGAAAAGTGGTGGAAAATTTACGACAGATTCATTGCCGCCGATCACAGTGCGTATGCGCAATATGCTGAAAGCTGCCAGAAGAATCGAAAAGCACTTTCGTTTTCAAAACAACAGTGAACACTCTTGAGAGTGAATATTTGCTAAGGGGAATTTCTAAATGAAATTTTAGTATTTCTATATTTTTAAAGATTTTTTAAACAAATAAAATGGAGTAAGTTACTTTTAAATACTTCAGATTATATGATTTTATATTTTCTTTAGCTACAAAATGTAGTTTTTAAATGAAATTACACCCAACAATTGTAATTAAATTATCCTCTTTCTGACATTATTCTCTTCAAACTAATATATATAAAACCCGCAAAAATATGACTTCACTTCTCTATAGTTAAGCAAGCTCCTTATATTCTTTTATCGTATTTATTGTGGTAGCTGCTTATGAAACAGAAGCAGAACTTTCCTTAAGGAAAAACTTTCGCTTGTTTCGACTGCATTTCTTGATGAAAAACTTTTCCCAGACAAACGCACAAGGACAACTGGAAATTGTCAAGTGGCAAATACTTTGGCTTTTCCGCGAGGAAAACTCACAATTGTTGTGCGTATCAACCGTCTTAAGGCCATCAGCTTATGTGGAATTTCAACTGCAATCCCCAAACAAAATGTAATTGTTTCGGTTTCCTTTCATAACCCATAAATGGGTGAACCTTCCTCAATAAAATATGCATACAACGGGAATAAACTTCGGCACAATAGAGCAGAAACAATGGCCGGAGGGTAAATTAAGCCCACCCGGAACTAAAGTTGCCTCCTAATCACAGATACTAAGCATTAGAGCAGACACTGGGCCCCCGAGCCGAGCAACAAAGTGCAGACGCCAACAATTAAAGGGAGTTAGAGGAGGACGCACGAAGGACGAAGGACGAAGCACCCAAGGCAATGCTCGCCAGGATAATGGCTGTGGAGCAGAACCAGAGGCAGAGCCAAAGCTAGAGCTGGAGCTAGAGCAATTGAGTGCGTTAACACTTTTGAGAGACACTGCTGACGTTGGCAGGAGTCTCGGGCTCACTCTTATATCCAACGTCTCAGGAGCCCCGCATCCCTGACTTTCCCACACACACACACACACACGCCTTCGTGCCCTCTCTAATTCCATTACGGAAGCAACAGTGACAAGTGGCCGAGGATTCCTTGCAGGACTCGGCAGAAGGCACTGCAGAAGGGGGGCAACATGTCAGCAGCAGCCACTTGTGATTGAAGTCGCACAGAGCATCGTCATGCACAGAGAGAAATACTAAACAAAAATGGAAAACAGAAACTCTTGAAGTTGATTATTCAGTTGATAAAATATTCAAAGAGTACTCATAAGATTAACCTAAAGAAAAACCAACTTCCAGTTTAATTTACTGAATTTTTCTCTCTGCATTTTAGCTGACTAAGTTCTGCAGTTGAACTCGGACCTTAATCCACTCCCCCTGTCTCCGCTGCTCATTAGTCTATCTGTTCTCCTCGCCCCTGTGAAGTTTGCAATTAATTAAGTTTTAATTAATTTCACACAGCGAGGGAAAAAATTTCCAGAGAAAGGCTGGGCCATCTATGGCACACACCATTTTTCCAGGAGGGCGTGTGAAAAAGGCAATTCCCTGGCAAATGTTTAACAAATTAGATGTGAGGGAAATGCCCAAGTAGCAGCAAAGTTTTGCCCCCGAGACATTCGAGCAATTGATTGATGCCAAAGTAAATGGATGGCAGCAGGTCTCTGAAAATAGCCACCTTTCGATATACATATATGTATATGGGGAAAAAGAGGCGTGACTTGAACAGTTTGCCACATACTCCTCATAATTTTGGATTCCAGCAGAGGGGCGGGGACTTATTTTCGGATACCGAAACACTCACATGCCACCAAAGTTTGTCTTATGAAATATTCAGGGGAGAGCAGCTGACCCGAGACAAAGCCCAACTTTGGGCCAATAACTGACTCTGGTTTATGCATTAACCATAATTAATTGTACGATGTGAGCTGGCCAAAGAATTTAGGGTTAGGCGTTGCCCTCTAATTTTTAGGCTAAACTTTGTTCAAGGCAAAGGAAAAGCCAGTTTTCACTATTCGAAAAAGCTATCCATAATTGCTATTCTTCATTTATTGCTTAACAAAAGATTTCTGCTATAGAGAGCCACACTCTCCATTAAAAATCTGGCTTATCAAAGCAGGCAACAAAAACGAATTTAATCAATTTATGTTCCATAACAGAGGTAGCAAAAAAAAACAGCTCAAATGAAATTCCTCTTAAAGCTTTTCAGACCTCCCAGACGAGAATCAATTTTTGTTGTTCAGTTTTTGGGTAGGTTCCAGGCGGATGGTAAATAAAAAGAGTCGTTTCATGGAAATGCGAAGCGAGCAGCGGCAACAAAAAAATATTATTCCGGCCTAGCAGGAGCCAAAAAGAGCAAATGCATCTGCAACAGCAACTGAAACAGCAACAGCAACTGCAGCAACAAAAAAACAGCAGTAACACCAAGGACGAAAGCAGCAACAAGGACAGTGCAGAAAAAGTTCAACAAACGAACGTTAAAGGATTAAATTGTCTGCCATTGATATTAAGTGTTTTAAATGTCATTGCAAGTGTTTAATTCACGCGAAAAACAGCGAGGCGAAAACAGAGAAAGAGACTAACGTCTGCAGAGAGAAAAAAATATAGAAAATTTAATATAATAAACAAAAAGAGGAGAGAAATTAAATTAAGCTAATAGATAAATAAAAATATTTATTAATTATCAGAACTAATAAATATAAAATCTTCTTATTCTTAAGTTGAATTAATAGGTTCATTTTTAAAACCATTTTTACAAGATTATCCTAGAGATTAAATGCAATATCTTATAAAACCCATTCTTGGCTTGCTAAATTTCTACTGAATAAAACTTCTCTAAGCTTCATTTTGCGAAATATTTTTCTCTCTGTAGAAAACCTAGGTCTCCTAAAAAACAAAACGAGACACAAAAAATAGTGTATAGTGTGTGAATAAGGGAAATCAAAACAAAAATATATATCTTCGCCAGAGATTGCCATAGATCAAAGCCCAGAAAAGCAAACAAAAAGCGAACTGATAGCACACAAAACAAACCTGATAAAGTGCTAGAAAAAAGGTAATAAAAGCGGAATACAAGAGCAGAGCTCTCTCAGCGAAGGATTGCAACAAGGAGAAGGAGTCGGGTCATCGCAACATGTTGACCCTGTGGACGGCACTTTTTTGCTGCCTGACGGGTAAGTCGAGCTCCCATTCTACTTCGTATTCCACCTACAGAATATAACCCCCAGAATATATATCCCATATTCAGTATCCTGCTTAAGCATGCATAAGATTATCAGCAATATATATGTATTTATACTTGTGCCATATAGGCCCACTCACCCGCCTCAAGGTTGTTATTGTTGCTGCCGCCCGGGCCGGGCGCTGAATCCTTTTAAAAACATTTGTGGTTCGGGCTGCGAAAATCCTGATTTATGTTTCTGCCTGCTGCGTTGTCCTTGCAATCCTGTGCCGCTGTTCTGTTCTGACATGGCCACTGCCAACCGCAGCAGGAGCAGAGCACAGTGAGAGTGAGAAAGCGATGGCTACACAAAGAGAAAAATAAATAAAATGTATTACTTATTATTAGCTATGAATATAATTAATATAAACTCATATATATTAATCCCAAATTATACGTAATTTATTAGTTAAAAACTCTTCCTTATTGATCCAATTTAACCACATTTTCTCCCCGTGCATAAACTCAAGAGAGCGACGTGGTGCCAGGACAAACAAATGCGGTCGCTTGCTGGTCGCTTGGGGTCGTTTTTAAGGGCATATCGCATAACAGCAGCTCCAATGAGGGAGGATGAGCAGTGTGGGGGTTATGGGGTTAAGGATTGCGGCTGCCGTGCAATGCCTGGCTTTGGGGGTTAAGGCTGAGTGGTGTCGGTGTCACTGCACTTTAAATTTTAAACGCACACACACACACAAATTGCTTTCTACACATAATTATGCATAATTGAAAAGTGTAATTATGCCCGAGACTCGGTGACTTTATGAGCCGCAAACTGTAAGCTCAATCAGGCGAACAGGCAACAGGCACAGGACCTCCACTCGAGCGGCGCAATGTTTATGCGAAGCAAGTCCTTTTAATTGCATGCCGCCTGTAAAGAGCAATAAAAAAAAAGGAGGAGGCTACAAAAAAAATATAGCAAGGAATCCTGCAGGCTTCCCTATGGCTACTTCTCCTGCTCCTGACACAGCCAGACTTCCGCACAAAGGACGAAGTCTTGAAGGGACTTTGCTTGAAAATAAAATGGAGGGAGGGAGAAATCCTGCCGTGACACATTTGAACCCATCTCTAAATTATGTCAAGAAATTAATGTTTCAAAAGATTCATATTACAAAATTCATTATGGCAACAGTGTAATACATTAGCAGGTGAAGCAAAGGAAAGTAAGAGAGAATTTTCCATTTCCTAGATAGAAATTCATAATAGGACTAGGATAGGTATAGGAATAAGCAAATATGATATAATTATTATAATATTAAGAGGTATTTTAACATATTTTCAAAATTACTTGATAAAAACCATACGTATATAAGATTTAAGTACATTTCCCCATATAAATATTTATACAGAAAATATAAGATTTCATCATCCCAAAATAATAATCTAAATATGGCTAGGATAGGTATAAGGATGAGGAGATATCATATAATGATTATAATATTAAGAGGTATTTTTCATATATATTTAAAATTATTTGATAAAAACCACACGAATCTTAGATTTAGGTAAATTTTCCCACATAAATATTTATACAGAATTTAAAAAAATTTATAAATTCATCATACTAAAATAATAATCTAAATATGACTAGGATAGTTATAAGGATGAGGAGATATCATATAATATATTTAAAATTATTTGACAAAAACCACTCGTATATAAGATTTTAGTAATTTTCACCACATATATGTTTATACAGTACTAAAAAACTATATGATTTCATTATCCAAAAGTAATAATCTTATAACTGATATATTTTCTAACCCAGTTCTGATCCTTATACCTCCTAACCTGCATACTTGCCACATTCGATGTCAGATTCCTAAACATACTCATAAAATAGCAGGAAAGGAGGTGGTAAACTTATCGATCCTGACACCATACATACATATAACATGTACCTGTGTCCTTTGCCATCCATCCTTGTCTGCTTATTGCTTCACCATTCCGCTTCAATTCAACTTGGCCATTGTTTTGTGTCCTTTGTTGGGGCTTTAGCTCCTGCCATGTGTTTTTATTGCATTAATTTTTATGGTCGCCTGCTTTTGTTGTTTGTTGTTTCTTAGTTATTGTTGTTACTGTTGCTGTTGTTGCTTCTGGGGTTTTGTTTTACCGTTACCGTTGACTGCCTTTGTTTTACTTTGTTGCGTATGCCCCAAAGTAATAAAGCGAATTGGTTTTTCCTCAAATAATTTCCATTTTAAATCCAGTTGGCAAATCCCCGCCCACTTGGCTTGAATTGCTGGTATTTTCCCCGCTTTCGCTCTCGCTTTCCATTTACATCTTCAGTTTTCTGTTTGGTTTTTCCTTTCCGCATGTTGTGGGCGCTAAGCAAAAGTGGCTCAATTTCCCTGCATAAAATTGTTTCGAAAGTTTTTCGCCGAGATTTGTTGTCGTTTGCCGAAAAGTGGCAAGTGGCATTTCGCAATTGTTTCTCTTGCGCTTATCCTTTTATAAAGACACTTGAATATTCCAACGGAAAAGCCTCCCCGATTTCCATGTACTGTCAGTTGTCAAAGGAGGCCTCAAAATTTAATTGAAATTTAGTGTAAACACAATGACAGGCAGTCGATTATCCTGCTACTGCGGTTCCAACAGCTCCTGTTCCAGATTCCTTTTCCGTTTTCCTTTTCCTGCTCACACAAAACACAATCACAATCTAAATATATTCAACATGTGTACAGGAAGAAACAATACATCACAATGCCTTATGGTGCTTTTTATTTATATTTAATTTTCAATGGAAACTATTTTTGCCAGGAAGTTGGATATTTGAAAGCTTTACAGAAATGTACAACAAAGTTGTTGCTTTATATTAATGGGATTTAATTATGATTAGATTTAGGGGTGATTTTATATTTAATTGGGTAATTATTTTACATACAATAATTATATATACATTTTATTTTAAAATAATGTCGAGTGTTTGATGGATTCTTAGTTAATATGCCGGAAAGTAGGCCGTAAAGGAAAAGCATAAAAGAACTACGTAGTGATTTATTATTAATAAAAAAGGATTTTTTAAATATTTACAAATTGATAACTCAAAAATAGTCAAGTAGTATTTATTTAACGACAATTTTCTGAGGAAACAATTGCCTTGCCTGACATATTATATCGATGTCTTAAGACCACATTAATTGTGAATTCTTTTCGTATAAAATAAACCCATATATTTCCTTCAAACTAAATTCAAATTTTCCCTTATTCCTTTTCCATTTTATGTATATATATATATTTCTCTGCGTGTATTATTCGCTGTATTTCCCGGGTAAATCCTTTAGCGCGCAAATCCTGTCAACTTTGGCTTGACTTTCCAATTTGCCATTGTTCGCCCCTTGTATGTGTCAAAAAACTTGGAATCGACCCCTCTTAGTCCTTAGTCCTTGCTCCTTACTCCGCTTACTCCACCAGCCCCCTTTGAACCCTCGGCAGTACATAACATTTCACACGTGTCACTGAGCAGTGAGTTGTTGGCTGTCAAGATGCCACAGCCCCTCAATCGGGCGATCCTGGCAGGCCTCCTGCAATCCTGCGAACCTCCGAATGGGAATCTAACCCGGCTGCCAAGACAACCAAGACAACAACAATAGCAACGCGGACAGGGAAACATTGGAAAATTGTATCGGCCCTGTATTAACATTCGCTCCCAGCCACGCCCCCATTTTCCCAACTCCCATCCCTCCCTCAAACTGTTTGCCTATTTGCTTTGTGCATATGGAAATGAAATGGCAAACAAGAATGGGAGCTGAAGTGGAGCAAAGAAAAGTCAGGAGAAAATTACGTTGACACAGGCAAACGCTCTCACACACACACACACGCTGCAGAGGGAAATAATAGAAAAAAGAAAATAAACTCACTCACACCAAACATCGCCAATTGGCCGGGGCAGCAGACATTTTTCCCCCGTTTTCCACAGACTTTTTCTCCTTCTAGTCACAGCAACAGTTTAATGCAATTATTTACTGTCTCCTCTGTGATGTGATTTATTAAAAAATGTAAGGAAAGTCAAAGGAAGAAGGGGAAAATGTAAGTCACTTAGGGAGATATTGAAGAAAATAAATCTTCAACGATTTAAGAATATATTAATCTGTGTTAAAGTGTCAAATAAGTTATAACAGAACTGCAGTTATCCTTTAAATTTATAGATATGAAATCATCATATAATTATTATAAAACTAATATATACAACTATATTATGTACTTGTCCATGCAACACCTAATTTTCTAATTCTGCTAAACATTTCTGTAATAATTGCAATTAACCCACAAAAACCCATCATCGAAAAGCTTAAAACTTCTCGTAACCAAAATTACAAACTAATTTACTGGCAATAATTCAAATATCCCAAAACTATGCAAGCTGATAAAGTATTAAGTGCTATTACTGCTACACATTAAATGGATTACAAATCATTGAAATGTTAAACAAAATGGAATTTTCAGGAAATGCAGCATTCAATTATGATTATGGCTTACAGATTGGCTTAATTAAAACGAAAACACTTGCAGTGCGGGGTGTGTAAATTACATATCCTTGATATATATAAACACATACGTATATTAAAGCACCAGGATCCGTGGGAATGAAAAGTAATAATTGCAGCAGATTAAAGAATTCCCCTACTGGTAGGATCATAATCGCTTTGATTAACGATCTTCCATATTTTAACCCGTGAAACTGGAAACTCGTTGGCACGCGCCAGTTTAACCCTTTCTCGCCGACGCCGCCAATTGCCACCCAGAGCGTTGATTGCCCCTTTTTAACCCTTTTTTAAATGGGGGAAATGCGCACGAGGAGCAACTTGAAAAATTCCAGGACTCCTCGTGTCCTCTGCCTTTTTTTTTGGGTTGGCAGTTCATTTGAATTGTTTTTGTTGCCGCATGCCACTCGTATCCCTTGTAATAGGGTTGCCTATTTTCAATTCCTCTCCGTTCATTTCTTTATTTTGCTTATCGGGGAGCAAGAAAAGCTGGGCAGTAGCAGCAGCAAAGAAATAAAAGCGAATAGGAGCATGAACAAATTGTTTACGGATGTGTTTGCGACCCGCTCCTTTGGAGCAACTACAACAGAAAAACAAGCAACACAAAAATATATATACATATATAAGGAAAAAGAAAGAAAACCCCAAAAACCCGGAGAGGATGTAGCAAAAATTCATAACAAACTACATTTCATGGCATTGTGTCAGTTGTAGTTTTTGCACTGTAACCAGAAACTATTCAAGGGGAACGCTATTGATTTGATTATAAATGAAAATATAATATAATACTTGTTTTTATAACTCTTTTTAAATTTAAAAAAAC